TAAGTGTATTTGCGAATTACCAATCTACGGTAATATTTTTCTTTTTAGTTGTAAGTCCATACTATAAATAATAATTTACTTACCTCAATCAGGTTAAAGTTGGCTAGGCGGTATCAAACTCAATATTATACATTGTTTTACCTCTTATTTACTATCGTATTGTGGTTATAATTCAACAGAACAATCCGTTTTTAATTGATTAAAATTTACATTAAAAACTGGTATAAAGAAATTTGGGAACCATCACTGGATCTTTGAAATAGGTCTCTAGAAATAAATTAAAAGCTAAATAATTTTTTTTGTTTTTCCAGCATATATTTTAAAGCTGTTTAGGAATATACAAAATTAACCTATCAAAATCTAAATATTTTGTAGTACTAAACATTACAGAAGGCATTAAGAATATATTTTAGAGCTCTACTCAGTTCAAAAAGTCAATTAAAAATTCAAAAGCAGGATTAAATCCATATCGGTATTGGAAGAAGGATTTAATTTACGTAACTGAGATATCGGTCATTGTTTCATTTTATTGGCAATTTCAACTATTTGTCATGCTTCTACGTTATATTAAGAGAAGCAATGCGTATCAATAATAAAATATATAAATCAATGATAAAATAGGCCTATAACATAATTTTACGTTTTTACTTTTATATACTTTTTTTAATTCCTTACTTTTTAATTATTTAACTGTTTTTCCCTGATAATTATTTAATGAAAATTCAAAAGTAGAACAGTTTCTTACTTTGAATTTTATCAATCTAAATTTCATTCCCTTTTATTATTTGTTTATAGGCAACACAATTATGTTTAAGTAAGAACAAATATTTGCTGAAAACAGAATTTTTTCATTGTAAAATAAAATGCATTAAACAAGATGGCATGAGGTTTGAAATAAGGTAAGATAACTCTTCTAAAAGTTATAGTCCTTCTAAAAGGATAGTATCATTTAATAATTGAGTTTCTTTTAAGTTCGAGTTTCTATTAGAATAAAAGTAAGCTATTGATAGGCATATGAACTTGTGTTATTATAGTATATTGTACTCTTCTTAATATTTTTATTCTCATTCGGCTTTTTGGTTGAATTAGATTGTTAAAGTTAAACCATTAGTAAAGATTTTCATTACACTATTTTAAAAATGTTTTTTTGTATACGCCTTAGTGAAATATAGTTTGTGTAGCCTTTTTTAGGTTTAAAAACTTTGGTAAAAGGTTTCTCATCACCATGTAATAAGGCCATGTTAATAAAAGCATTCGTTTTTATTTTGCGAAGTATTTTTTTGTGTTTTATATACATGGTTTGTTAATATAAATTATTATACTCATATTTAGTTTTCCCAAAAAGTGTATTATCGCATACTCCTGTTTGATCCAGAAATATTTAGGTAGCAAATGTTCGTAATAACCAAAGTTTCCAGGTGTTAATGACCATTTAACAATACAAGTATCATTAACAAGCCATTAGATCTGGAAACTTTACTTATCTAAATGAGACACGTCACAGTTCCATTGCATATTCAAACGAATCTTTTGTTCGAGAAAATTAAATGCCAAGGGATGTCAGGAAATGTTTAAAATGTTCAAATTATCACTAAGGTAAGTGTCATTTATGATATAATCAGATGATGATTATTATTGTTTACATTTTCTTTTTTGTGTTAAGTTAAATCGTAGAATAAAGTTACCAATTAATTTACGTATATTTTTATATTCTATCGAGACAAATAAGAGAGGTATCTTTATGAGTTTAACAACCATTGGGAATTTTTAGGTATTGATAAATGTTGTTTTTTATACGCCAGTAAAATATCACAAATGTTATTATCGAATAAATTAAAGTAGATAATCTTGCCTGAATAGAAATATATTGATTGATTTGTCTTATATTGATAAGTGCTATTTATCAATATAATACCCTTGCCGCAATAAACATGCTGACCACACAAATTTCCATTTGCCTGGGCGTTTTTTCACTAAAATATTTCTTTATAGATATCAAGTTTATTCCTTATTTAAATAAATTTAGTTTTAACGAGTACTAAGATTTACTGTACCAAACAAGGTTACGATGTGTATTCTTGAATAAAATGTTTATGGTTTGGTATAAAATAATCCCTAAATCCCTCTATATTTGACTTTGCTTTATTATAAACATGTTGACCAAGTGTGTTATGATTTAACAAAGTCAACCCTTTGAGCCGCTAAACCTTTGCCATCATCAGTAGACCGATCAACCCTCTTGTTACTGTCTAATGATACGGTAGAATCCCTTTGACATGCAGCCTAAACAACTATAAGTCTATCAGGATTGAAAATACGTATTGGGCGTGAAAATTGTTTTATATTATTCTTATAAAATTGTAAAATGCAACAAAATCTGACAAACTAGATTGCAGGTTATTATAATGCACTAAAACTGGTGATCACATATATGTAGGTCTACACTCCTGAATATGTTTCTGTATATTTGGCCTAAATCATATATGTAGCTATGATTTGAATTCCTGCGTTTTATACACTACATAAATTTTATAGACATTATGTTTTGTGCAAGGTCTGAAGATGAGGACTTAGTCCTGGAAACGCGGCATCCATAATGATTAAGCCTATACAGGATCACTCTGGCAGTACCCAGGTAATTGTATACATTTTATACATTTCATCTGTGTTATTAGACTATTCTAGACGCCTACCAGGGGACATGTCTTTTTCTTCTTGGACTTGATTTTACAAGCTGGAATGTATGAGAAAGTTACTAAACAAATCAACCTTACTGATGGAAAAAAAAAACAAAGAACCCCTTACGTTGTCATAATCTTTACTAGACGGCTTGTATACAAGGGAACAGTCAGAGAGCACATAATCAGGTCTAGGATTCCACAAATAATCTTTCTTACTCAACAGTAGATGATTTTTTATGTCAAGTTCATTAGTTTGATTAAAGGATGAAATTAAAACGAGTTGTTTCCAGTTAATAATCTTAACTTATTTCAATATTTTAAACACATTTAAATAACCTTTTAACTCTTAACTTATCACTACTAAAAAAGAAAAAAAAACTTTTAAGATCCAAACTTTTAATTACAATAAATAATAAACGGTATCAGCATTCTGACACATACTTTCTCCCATAAGTTTGACAACAACCTTTATCATGTGTAAACGGTGAGAGTAAATATACGGAAATGAAATTTGTACAATTTTGTTCAGAATTTAAAGGACTATAACATACTAAATTTTTATCAAAATTGTTCGAGCCAATTTTGGGAAATCCGATTTTTCCGTTATTTTATGGGGTTTTATGGGGAAATAACATAATTTGCAATAGCTTTTGAACCGCAATTTTTACAGAAAAGGGATTTGTACCATTTTGTTTAGAATATAAAGGACTATAACATACTAAATTTTTATCAAAAT